CAGGATGGATATTTTAAAGAAAACAAAAGAAAAGTGAAAAGAAAGAAGAAGGAAAATAAATCTGTACAAAACACAAAACGTTATCTAAAACATTATATAAAAAAAGAGATTCAACGTTATGTAATGAAAGCAATAATCATCTCACAAAGTCTTGGCACTAGGTCACGGCACCCCTCTCCCCCCCTACCCATCCTTTGTGTATCTTCAGTCGGCCAAGATTACGTCACATCTAGGTCACGCCTGTACCCTTAATGCCGTCTTTGGTTATTTGTAGTGCCATCTGTGTTTACTATCAGTGCCACCTGGGATGCCATGTAGTGTCATTTGTGTGTTTACGAAAAGGCACTGTGTTTTTTTTTTTCCCTTGAAGCGGAGACAGTGTTTCTTGTGCAGTGTAATGGGGTTATTACGTGTCTCTGAATAGTGCTTTTGTGTCCAGTGTATATCGTGTGTTATTTTTGTTGGCCTAAATGCAACTAATATTTTGATTCAACGTTATTTGGGATGCATTTGTTAACTCTACTGGTCTTTTTTGCACTTATTATAGGATCAGTAACATTAACAATTATAATAATTGCTATGAAAATGATCATAAACAGCAGTAACGCAAAATAAATTAAAAACAACCACAACAACTACAACAATTGTAATATTGATACGATGATGATAAAGATGACAATGATACTGATAATAGATACAATGTTGGCAGCTGGAATGATAACAGTATCATTAATAATAATGATGGTAAAAATGACAGTGATTTTGGTAACAATGAAAATAGTAATAATGACAATGAATTAATGATAACAAAAACCTTAGTAATAGCATAATGATATTGCTAATGATGGTATTAATACTAAAATTGATGATAATTATAAAATGATAAGAATAATAACGTCACTGATGATGATTATGAAAATGAAAATAGTCATAGCAATAATAAAATATAGTAATAATGATAATATAGAGCAACAGCAGTAATAAAAAACAATCACAAAAACGGCAATAATAATATCATCAATAGCAAAAACAATAGATACAATCACAATAATGGTAGGAATAACAACCAGGATCTACTTCTACTACAAATAATGATGACAGCAATGAACTACTTCTACTACTACTACTACTATTACAACGACTACTAATACACAATACTATTATATACTACCAACCACCACCACCACCACCCACTACTACTACCACTACTACTACTACTACTACTATTACTACATACTAACTATTAATACAGCACTTATCATCACTTCTACAACCATGATCTATGACACCAAATTTGACATCAATGGTCTTTAAATGATACCATGACCTTACGTAATTGAACTTTGCTCGGCAGATGATGATGATGATGGTAACAGGAATAATAATATTGGTTATACGAATAGCAATAACTGTGAAGATTATATTAGTAATAATAAAATGGGAATGAAGATATTAGAAATGATAATTATAATGATGATAATAGCAGTCATGATATAATAAAAAAAGACGATGACGATAATAATGATGATAACATTTACAACAAACTGTAAAAGATGAGAATATAATCAACAAAGTAATAATAAGTAAAATAACATAACAATGAGACAACAACAGAAAGAAAAAGAGAATAAGTGCCATAAAAATACTCCTTTTTTTTCTGCAAGCATTCTTTGCGTAACTCAACAGCATCTCCTCGAAACCTAGAATGACAAGTGGAAAAAAGGGTTTAATAAAAGGGACCTAAACAATGCTACAGGTAATAAAACAACTGACAGGTGATCAAAGGGTGATAACCAATTGAAAGAAGAATGCATGGTATGAAGTGTGGTTTTGAAGATAAGGGTACTTGGGTCTTTAAGGTCTTTGCGACATCGATAAGAGGCGGTGATGTGAGGTTATTTTATGCTTAATCGAGCTCGAGCAGTGACAGAAGAAAGAAAAAAGGAAGAGAGAGAGAGAGAGAGAGAGAGAGAGAGAGAGAGAGAGAGAGAGAGAGAGAGAGAGAGAGAGAGAGAGAGAGAGAGAGAGAGAGAGAGAGAGAGAGAGAGAGAGAGAGGAGAGAGAGAGAGAGAGAGAGAGAGAGAGAGAGAGAGAGAGAGAGAGAGAGAGAGAGAGAGAGAGAGAGAGAGAGAGAGAGAGAGAGAGAGAGAGAGAGAGAGAGAGAGAGAGAGAGAAGAGAGAGAGAGAGAAAACTGTAGAATATAGTTAAGGGTTAATAGATAATGGTTGTGAATGTGTAGTGTTTGTGTAGCTATAGATACCTATACACATATGTTTACATGGTTATGATTTTTTTTTTTCTTTTCGTCTGCGAGTAAAGATGACAAATTAGGGCAACTGTTAATATTTATTACAGTACTGATAGGGTTTATAACTGAAACAACGTGTGTAAAAACAAACACTCATAATAAAGAAAAGGTGAATACAGGAAGAGCAATATAGAATAAAGTTAAAGGTTAGTGTTTGGTGTAATGCTTGTGTGTCTGTTGGGGTCTATGCAGCTATAAGCGCATATGTACATATAATTATATACGTTTTATATATGAATATTTATTTTCTTTCTTTTGTCTGAGAGTAAAATGCATTAACGCAACTGTCAATAACTTTGGTAATTCTGATAGGAAAAATTTGTCATCATTTCGATTTTAGCTGAAATTTGACAGGGGAGGAATGTTTCTCGTGGGAGAAAGCTACCCACGGGTCTCTCCCCCGGGGTTAACGGAGAGCATGTCCTAACCCCCCCTCTCCCCCGCAGGATGGGGTACCTGGCATGTCCCGTGTGCGAGCGGGAGTCCCTGGTCAACGTGAGCGACCTCCAGCAGCGAGTCGCGACCGCCCTCATCCGGCCTCTCTCCTGCCCCATCTGCAGCGCCTCCGTCAGCGGGCTTCAGGCTTTCCACCACCACCTGGCCGCCCATCTTCCTAACCAGCACAACCCTTACGCCGACGCGACGCCGCCCACGCCCCTGCACAATGTGTCGGGATACACGCCCACGCACTCGCCCGACGCCATTCCGAACCTGGAGCACCTGGAGATCAGCGACGGCGCAGGATCGCCTCGCAGCCCCTCCGTCGGGGTCCGGAAGGCGCCGGAGGAGCGGGAGTGCACGGTGGAGCGGTCAGCGTCCTCGAAGTCCCTGCAGGAGCTGAGCCCCGCCCCGGCGCAGGAGCACGCGAGCAGCAACTGCGACCTGTGCGGGCTGGTGTTCTCGTCCGAGCACTTCCTCAGGATCCACAAAGACATCATCCACACCAAGAGCGACTTCTTCGACGTGTCGTGCAAGCTGTGCAAGGAGAAGTTCAAGGACTTCGAGGCGTACCGCCAGCACGTGCGCGAGAGCCACAGCGACCGCCGCTACATCTGCGACCAGTGCCCCAAGACGTTCAAGATGAAGGGCAGCCTGCTGGTGCACACGCGCATGTTCCACGACCCTTGCTCGCCCGGCAAGTGCCAGGTGTGCAGCAAGACCTTCACCACGAAGGCCCGCAAGGAGCTGCACGAGAAGCGCTACCACGGCATCGGCCTCGAGCACCTGTTCGCGGCGGGCAAGGCGTCGCCGCCGTCACCGTCCTCCCGCCAGCAAAGGGCGGCGAGCTCCTCCGCCCTTGGGGACGCCAAGAACTGGCTGGAGACGCTGGTGACGGAGAACAAGTCCATGGGAGACGCCTCGCTCAGGATGCACGAGCAGGCGGGGCAGCCCTCGCCCGGGCTGCCCTTCCCTCACCCGTCGCCGACGCAGCTGCAGTTCCCGGCGACGCCCGGCCTGAAGATGCAGCAGCAGTTCTCCCTGGCGGAGCACCCGCTCGACCAGGCGTTCGGGGGGCACGAGCACGGCGACATGCTGGGCCGCGACGAGCAGCTGCACCAGCCGATGGCGCTGGACCCCGCTGACGCCCTTCAGCAGGACCCACAGGCCCTCCGACGGGGGAGGGCCAGGGACGCGCAGCCCAGCTGGGCGGCAGAGTGCCAGCCGCACCTGTTCGGCCAGGACATGATGCAGGCCAAGATGTCGCCGGAGGGCCATGCGTCGCCCTTCAGGCCGAGCGTCGCGCCGCCCGCGCAGGCGCTCCCGCCGCACGCCTTCCCCGGCGGCCGCGCCGGCGTGGACTGCACGGAGTTGAAGCAGGAGAAGCTCTCGCTGTCGGCGCCCTCGTGCTCGGAGGCGAGCGTCTCCCGCATCGTGGGCGGCCACCCGCAGCAGAGCCCCGTGGCGGTTGTGTCGCCGCAGCCGCACAAGTCCGAGACGCCGCCGGCCGGCGTTACCGACCCGCCGGCGGCGCCCGCGGAGGCGCGCAGGAACAGCTTCCCGCTCATCGGCCTCGGCAAGGCCGCCCTCCCGCCCGCCGACGCGACGCGTCTCCACGCCGGCAGCTACGTCAGCGAGTTTTCCCTGGCGGGCTCCGGCGCCATGCCCGTGTCCCCCGGGCCGCCTGCGTGCCCGGCGGGGGACAAGGCGCTCGGCCCCTTCCCGGCGTCGCAGCCGCTCCTGTACCAGCCGGGCCACGCCAGCCTGCACGTGGCCAGCTACAGTCCGGGCCTCGCGCTCATCGGCGGCGCCCACGACTCCAAGGTGGGCGTGCGAGTGCCGCCCATCGTCATTCCCGCCCGCGCAGATGTACGCGGCGACAAAGCTGAAGGAGTCGCCCCGACAGCCCGGCCACATGGCGAAGGCGCTGGACGGCGGCGGCGCCCCGGACGCCCCGCCGCCGCCCGAGGCCGAAGCCGTCGACGCGGCGGCGACGCGGCCGCAGGAGTCGCCCGGTGAGGGAAGGCCCGACGGAGGGCGCTCCCGCCCCGGCGCCGCGGGGGCAGCGCCGCGTCGTCTTCCAAGAAGGTAACACGGGAGGGCGAACGGGGGTGGGGGGGGGGGTTTGAGGGCATTTATCTGTTTGCGTATTATTTTGTGTGGCTATGTTTGCAAACATACATGCATACATTCATAAATGTATATTGCATTCATACGCATATATATATATATATATATATATATATATATATA